CAGGCAAGTGCTGTGCCACTGAACTATATTCTTTTCAAACAAATGATTTTATGAGACTCTTGTAGGACAGATAAAAGGTCCAATTCCCCTCCTGCTCAAATGAAATGTACTATTTGATGACCATCAAGAGGTAGAACAAGTCCCAGTCATGTCCATGTTCTGTTCTCTTGTGGCTCGGACAAAATGGACCTTCTACCAGTACAAGTAATGGGTTTGTCAAATCCAGGACAGCACAGGGCGCATACCAAAGCCACAGTCTAAGTCACTGACAAAACCTACAGCAGACAAACATCTAGAGGGTTTTTAATTTCTTATCTGTGAAGAAAGTCTTGCAGGGAGTCTGGGGTCTAGGGCAAGGAAAGAGTCAGGAAATCTGTCACTGCACAACGAAAATGGAAGTAAACATTCTTTTGGTATTTACCCTCTAAGACCAAGATATTCTGCTATTGACAGCTGCCCTAATCACAAATGAAAGATGACTATTTTTCCCTCTAAATACCTAAGGCATTTCCCCTATGCCAGAGAAAGACCCAAGGACCGACTGCATGCGCCCACGCTCACTTGGATCTGCTGCCACACACCAACCTTTGCTTCCTGTGCTCGCGCCCACACCTCACTTCCAACTGGCTGGGATGCAGCACGAGAGGAGATGTTCACAAAAGAACAACTCTACTTTCTTACAAGAACTTCCAGCCTTGTCAGACTACTCTGAGTACAAATCATCATTACAGTACAAATCTAATTTTTTTTTTTAAACTGAAAATCAGAGCCACTTGTCACTTTTAAATCCCAACCATTTTCAGGGTATGAAACGCGTGGTTCCTCTAGTGCCAGGCACCGGGGAGAGAAAGTGGTATGCTTGTAAGATCAGGTCTTACTATTCTGTTTTAACTCCTTCTGTTAAAAACTTATAATCGAATGATTACAATGATTTTTTAGACTAACACAATCTCCCATTAAGACACTCTGGGGTGGAATGAATTTTCTGAGATAATGTAGCAGGTGAGTTTGGGCAATAAGCCACGGTATGAGTTTCCAGATCGGCTGCAGAGCAGCACAGGGAACAGGATCTGAGAGTCACAGTGCAACCCTTCGTTGTGAGGGAGGGACCCATACATGGGTAGGTGAATGAGATGAAAACTCCTGATGAGTGCTCCAGTGCCCCACCTTGCAGCTCTGCAGGCTCTGAGTGGCTGTGCAGGACACTGCCATTCTGTCACACATGCTGGGGCTGTGGGGATCATTCTGGGAACTTCCAGCCAAAGGCAGCCCCACCTCCACCCTGTAATTCCCACTTGCTAACAGCACCAAGTCAGACTCAGTGTGAAGACTCTCAACCAGGGCACTATCATTTAGAAGCTGATGGCCAACAGCAGTAAAATGTGAACCAAATATCATGGACTTTCCATTGGCAACCTTAAAACAATAAAAGAAAATCAGGTAAAATTACCTTTAAAATCTTAACTAAGCTAATGTATCCAGACTTTTAATATATGCTATATATTAAAGTTAACAAATCATTGTAATATGCAATCAGTATAAAACCTGAGATTTCATGGTAAATTATATACCTTGATATCAACTACTGGATCCCGACAGCCAACCTGCCCACTCTCAACAGCACCCAGTTACTGAGCAGCTAACGTGCTAGATTCCACCAAAGGCTCTTGGTTAGAGATTTTGAACTTCCAAGGAGACATTAATGAGGCAGGTTTCCACAAGGACCATGAAACAAAAATATATACCAGAGGCAGGTGTGGTAGTGCGTGTCTGTAATTCTAGCAATTGGAGGCTGAGGTAGGAGGATTCCAAGCTGAAGGACAACTTGAGCTACATAATAAGTTTCAAGCTAGCCTGGGCAACGTAGTAAGATGCTGTCTCAAAACAACAAAAACGAAACCCAAAATAAACATACAAACAAACAAAAAAACCCTCCACTTCCCCCCCAAAATCCCAAACAAATAGACACACACACACACACACACACACACACACACTATCTCAGGAGATCTTAAGGTTATAGCACTAAGTGCCAAGGTAAAATGAAACTGATCTGATGGCAACACTTCTCTTTCTACTTTCTGTATTTCTGGCTCAACGGCTTTCTTAAAAGTATCACTATCTGAAATATCTATATTTACTACATATGTCAGAGACCTGAGAAACCTAATGGTGCACAGTTATATCACTTAGGTAACAATTTATCCCAGGCTCAGGGCCAAACTCAGCCTTTTCTGTTCATTGTCACCTATAATACTATACATCTGTAGCATTCTGAGTACAGTTTTGTATTCTGCTTTTCAAAACAATCATATCACAAACGTTCTCTTGAGTCATTATTTCCAAACACCTACACTTGGATGGGCTTAGAGATTTTGATCAAGATGTTGCCTAAACACAAATTCTGGTTTAGCCCTCTGTGACCTTTAATTTGATTGTCAACCTGACTGCACATTTAGCAGACTAGCGGGGCACGCTCCTGGGTGTGTCTGCAGGTGTTTCCAGAATGAGTGGCATGCAGGCTACAAACTAAAGGGTGAAGACCTACCATGACCGTAAGTGGCTCCATCCACTAGGCTGATGGCCTAGATACAATGAAAGGGGAAGACTGGGGGGTTGGGGTGGGAATTGACCTGAATTTGAAAATTTCCACTCTTCAGCTTGAGCAGATAAGTCTTTTGCTACTGCCACGACCTGTGGACACTGGCCTCCAGTTTCTTTCAGCCTCTCAATATAGATTCACAGCAGTGACTCTCCAGAGAACTTCTAGATCTTCAGTGTCAGGCTGGTGCTACAACCTTGATGACTCTTCCAGATTTTTGAACTGAGTAGCTAGTGGATGCTGTAGTTCTCCAGCACACAGCCATTGTGGACTTCACCACCTTGGATCCTCTAAGCCTATCCAGTTATCTCTTTTCATATATATATATACATATATATATATCACACACACACACACACACACACACACACACACACACACACACACATTTTTCTTTTTCTTCTTGACTGTTCCTCCAGAGAACTCTAATCAATACATCTTTCTTTCAAACATTCTAAAAATTCTTGCGGGTGTTGAAGAGAAATTGTAAATATAGCAAATAGGGGTCTTTACCCTCATATAACATATCTCAGGAGGAAAGATAGATCATAAATATACAGTGTAGCAACAATTAAATGGAAAAAAGGCAGTGAGGAGCAATACTGACTTTAGACTACCTCCATTATTTATTAGGTTGAACCCCTTTAAATAGCTGATATTCAATCATGTCTGACCCACACAATGGGTATTTTCATGTAACTCAACTGAGTGGTTTCATCCCATCAAGAAATAGTCAAGAATGCTTCCTGTCTACAGCGAACACAAAGAGCAGGGGAAGACACTGAGTAACATGTAATGATGCAACCAGTAAAATCCAGAATATGGGAAGACGTTGTGGGACAAAAAGGAAACAAGAAGTCAAGGTGACCACTAGACTACAAGCTTTATGCATTTGTAGATGTTCTTCATGTCTTTGAAAAACACACGTTTTTACAGGAGGTGAAGGGTGCTGAAATATCTAATACAATACTGAAGAAATATCAACTTATGTTTTTTAAAAACTGTGTATACATTTAAAAATTCCACACTATGAAAAGATAACATACAGACAGGAAGAAAAGTATTTATAAATCATACATCTCGTAATGGCTAGTTCCTAAAATATATGAATGTTATATAATACCCAACTCAAGAGCAAGGGAAATAACTTGATTAAAAAATGGACAAAGACTCTGAACAGGTATTCCTCAAAAGAAGATACAGAACTGGTCAAAAGGCATGTGAGAAAATGCTCAACATCACTAATTATAAGGGAAATGCAAATTAAAATTGAGGTATTATCTCACATCTTTTAGGATGGCAATTACCAAAAAGACCAAATGTACATATTGGTAAGGATATGATGAAAAGGTTATCTCTGCACTTTGCTGATGGGAATGGAAAACGGTATAGTACAGTAATTAGAGAAAACTGTACAGATGTTCCTCAAAACATTAAAAAATGTAAACTACCATATTATCCAGGATCCTACTTCTGGGTGTGTATCCAAAGGAAATGAAATCAGTGTGCTGGAGAGACAAAAATAACTGTTCATAGTCACATTATTCACAATAGCCAAGATATGCAATCAATCTAGGTGTCCTCGAATAAATGACTGGATGAAGAAAATGTGGCACACATACACAAAGGAATACTATTAACACATCCCCACCAGCTTGAACCACTAGCAGTACATGTGTGGCTGCCCAGCAGGTGGTGGCTTATACCTCTGGCGGTGGAAGTGGTGCAGTGTCGCACAGGACAGTCATGCAGGTACCACAGGTGGCTCAAGCTGCCTACCAGTGAGACGTATAAACCACAACCCCATCATCAACATATGTTACACACAAAAACCGTAGTAATTGATGAAACAAATTAAGTTGGTGGGCATTAAGGTAAGTGAAATAAGCCAGACACAGGAAGACAAATATGCAAGATCTCCATATGTTTGGAATCTAAAAAAGTCAAATTCATACAAATGTTTACCAGAGGTTGAAGAGATGCTGGTTAAAGGGTACTAACTGTAAGTTAAGCAGAATAAATAAGTTTGTGAAACTTACTGTACAACATAGTGACTGTAAGTAATAAAAATATATTACATGTTTTAAAATTCTAAGAAAATAAAAATGTTCTTACCATGAAAACTGTTAGGTATGTGAAATAATATTAAATAGTTGATTAATCACCTTAATCAGTGTATGCATAAAATAATACAGTGCACAGCATATACATAACAATACCAAAGTGTACCCCACCGACATATAACATAACAATTATTGTTAATTAAAATGAGAAGAAATAAAACCTTAACGCAGGTCTGTGCCCTTCTTGCCCCTTTCTCCTGCAGTTTCCATACACCACCCATCTGTGCTCAGATTATCAGCTAGAAAAGCCCAAAGCATTTTAGATGACTGCTCACCTGTCAATGAACTGATCGATAATGACGATATCGCCGGGCTGAATCTCCTCCCTCAAGGAGCCACAGGCTGTGGTCACTATGATGTGTGTACAACCCTCTTCCTTCAAGGCCCAGATGTTTGCCTGGTAGTTGACTTTTGAGGGCATGATGGTGTGCTGCCTCCCATGTCTAAGGGAAGGGGAATTAAAAGGTAGATGAGAGATCAGGGTATTTTAACACTGTTAAAAAACTAATTTACAGTGGTGTTTTCCAGCTTTTTCCACTAAGGCACTTCTATTGGCATGGGAAGAATGAGAAGGCAGGCAAAACCACTCTACAATGAGCACAAACCACTTCATCTTAAAGCTGGCCAGCTTCACATTTCATATACTTATCTTCCTATCAAGGGCACAGTAACTTCCATGGATGTATTCACACACTGGGAAGATGTACTGTCTGTCTTCCAGGGCATAAACAGCTCCCTGATGCAATATCTGGTGTGACAGACCTGAAGTTCCATTGAATCTCTCTATCCCTTTCTGCTGGTCACTCAAAGAAGCTAATAAAAACTTGTAAAATGTGAGAGTTCCCAGTCCTTTAGGAATGACATAAATAGCTTTTATCCATGAACTGATCACTTTACGCATGACCACAGGTGAGATCTCAACTGTATCCTACCAAAATTCCTTTGGTGAAGACTCAACTAACAAGTGTACTTCAAAATGAATCTCCATTTGCATAAGATCTTTGCAGGGTAATTAAGTTAACATGAGAGCAACAGATGTGGGCCCTAATTCCACATCACTAGTGTCTTTGTAAGAACTGTGAGAAAATAAATTTCTGTTCTGAAAGCTAGGCAGCCTGAGATTCTGTTACAGTAGCCACAGCAACCACTGTAAGTATCAGTGATTTCCCCTACACTTAATTAAAACCAAATACCTCACCCAAGACCCAGCCTCACTGGGCGTTGGCTGACCAGGGCAATCGTCCTGGCTGTGCCCTGCCTCACTCAGGCCTCGTGGGACTTTCTGTGACTCATCTTTGCTTGCTCCTGCTCAGGCCTCTGATCTTCAGGTCCCCTCTCCAAGAGGTACCTCCCATGGCCACGGCTTCTGCATCATACCACTATCCCCTGACCTCTTCCCTGGACTTAGTTTCTCCTTTTAAAGCCTCTCGGGATCTCTAACTAAGCATTTCCTTTTAGCATCCAACCTTCCAGCCAGAATCAGCTCTGAGGACAATGTCCTTGTCTGTTTTCCTTGTTGGTACCTAGAAGGGGACACTTGCTGGGTAAGTAGTTCAATTTGTTGGACAAACAAATATGTGTGGCTAACATTCTTGGAGCACTTGAAATACAGACACACAACACACACACCTACAAAAACCACCAGAGGAGCTCCAGGAAATAGCTAGTTAAAAGAAGTCAATTTCTAAAATTATTTTTAAAAACTCACAGGTATTACACAACATACTTGTGAGCAGTATTTTATCAAGAGGCCTAAAATTATTCTAGGTTGCTTAAAAACTAAACACATGTATTGTTTTGCCACAGAAAAGTAGCTCAAGAGCCAAGCTTCCTATGAACTATGATAAATTAGAAAGATGCTCTTAAGCAAGTTACTAATATACAAAATCTTGTTTTGTTCAAAGATTATTAAGTCTGAGCTTTGTTTTTGTTTTGCCTTACATACCTTATGGTGGTGAGAACACTTAAAATGTGTTTTATGTATGCATATATATTTGAATATCCATACCCATGGTCCACAGTCTTGCTTGCATAGACATATTTAGGAAGTAGGAATACATCCAAACATTAAAAAATAAAAGGCAGTTTGAGTTTTTGAGAGAAACTGGGAGTCAAATCTCTGCCATTTACTAGTCCTGTACCTACCAAAATCACTCAGCATTTAGCCTAGTTTTTTAAAGAAAAAGAAATACACAGAGTTTGTTACTAAGTCGTGTCTGTTCTAATGCCCCGTTATAGGAATCTTCAGAGCATCAAAATAATTGTAGACACACATAGTATGTCAGGGTTTCTCTCTCGAGTTTTGGGTAACTATTAAGAATCACAAAGTATGTCTGCATTTTTCTGAGGCTAGTCTCCAAAAAGCTGACTAGATTTTTCAAAATAAATTAAAAGAATGAAAAGTAGTTCAGAATCCAGTGCACTGAGGGTCAAACACTTCACAGTAGTACTACACAGTTCAGAAATATAAAACCCTCAATAGCAAACTGAATTGCCATGTTTTTAATTTCTAAAAATTAAGCAGTTCTCTAGCAGAGACCATGGACCAATGAAAAAGGCTACCCAGAATCCACCTGGGGTGATCATCTGAAACTAAAACTTAGTTTTTCTGGATTCCAAAAACACACCTCCATTTCAAAATGTCAGACAGACCTTCATGTGGCCCCACTTTCATGCCCTGTGTAGAGTATGGTGGGCCCAGGACTCATTTCCATCCATTAGAACACGGCAAAGCTGCTGGAGATCGGCCCGTGGCCAGGTGCCACCTCGGTGGCATGCCCTAGAGGCCCTCCTGGCTTTGTAGCAACTACAATAGCATGACTTACTGCTGCCTGGCCGCAGGGCAAGAACTGTAAGCCACCTCTCATGGCTGGAGGCCTCAGTCCCACAACTCTGAGAGACTGAACTCTGCCAACAACTCCATGAGTCTGGACAAACACCTGGAGCTTGGAATATACCGAGACCCAGGTGGATGGCTTGGCAAACCGCACCAGATTCCTAACCCAAGAGATAATGTCTGCTATTTTAAGTGGCTCAATTTGTGGTAATATGCAATAAAGTACTAGAAAACAAATATATATGGTTTGACTAATTTCTAGCTATATAATAAACGTGGTGTTCCTTCCTCTACAATAGGGGCCAGCACCAGTACCATAGAGGAGACACGGGTGTAAGTACTGGAAGTAACCTAGCTCAGGGTTCCTGAGCCTGCTCCCTACAAATATGTAACTATTACTACACGAGGGGTCAGGAATGAAATACTGTTTTTCTTCATGAGAAAAAGTGAGCAAAGGAAATAGTTTCTTCTTTCAGAGCCTCAACTGTAGTTAATCGAGCTGAGCGTGGAAAGAAGTCAAGAGATCACTGATCTCCTAAGTACACCTTAGCCCAAAGCCACACATAGTAAATAAAAGCCACCAAGTTCTGAGTCCACGCGCATAAAGACTTACATCGGCATCATTTCTCTTTCTAGAATTTAAGTTAAATTAACATTATCCTTTAGCAGTCATTTCCAAAAAGTTTAAAACACTTTACCTTGCAAGGAGGACGCAATCAACATTTTTTATCTTCCCCAAAATTAAGGCATCAGAGGGCTGCAGGCAATGAAAACTGGTTACAACTCAGTGATTTTAAAACATGTACATGAATACTTAAAAAGTTGCCACCTGAACTGCTGAACTACAATAGACTTATGGAAACTTGGAATCTGAAGATACCCTTAGAAAAGATTTTATGTTTGATCAATCAGTATAACCATCAATTATTCACTGAACTCTCTGCTGGCCCACACTTACCAGCTCTGAGGTTTGCCAGATGTGGGGGCAGGGGCTGTGTAGATACATGATCACAAGAGGTCTCCAAGTATCCCAGGGGACTCTGATGGCCACTAATTACGTTAACACATAGCAGAGGTATTTAGTAGGTTCAAGAACAGGTGAGATAGTGAAAGCCACAAAAGTTAGGAGAACACCAGCGGCACAAAGGACTCTGTAATAAAGCACTCTGCTTGTTTAACCAGACCTCAGATGGCCAAGGGACAATTTGAGGGAATGCAGGGAAAGGCCCAGAGAACCTGAGGCTAAGAAGTGGGCCTAGCTGGACTTGAAAGACAGGATATGTTAATCTAGGAACTGAGCTGGAAAGGAGGGTTTGGCACGATGGTTAGACATGGAGACCTTCCTTGGCTAAAATACAATTCCAGAAGTGGCAATGTGGGGCTGGCCTTGGCCTGGAGGACAGGGGCCTGTTCTATATGAAGTGAGTTTTACTTCCACTTCTATAAACATCAGCTGTGCTCTGGATCCTCAAGACAGGGCTCTTTTGGGTCCCTGTACATTGAGATATTGGGTCCCTGTCACTTTGAAATATTTCACCCTATTAGTCATCCGCCTGCCCCCTCAGCCACAGTAGTGTGACCCACAGGCCCCAAAGTAGAAGCTGATTTGAATGCAAATTTGAAAAGTACAGTTGCTAGGTTTGAAATGAGTGTCTGGTTTCTAGCAACATAAATTGATAAGTTGCTTGAACACATTCAAAAGCCATGCTGTGAAAACAGCAAGGTGCAAGGCGATGCCCATAGACACCCCTCCACTGAGGGGCCCAATGGCAGGCCCTGGTCCCCTTGGCCTGGAGCAAACAGCCCAGAGCTTCCAACACCAAAGCAGTTTCCCCTTTTACCCTGAAAACCAAGCCAGTAAAAAACATGGACAAGCTAACACGCCTTCACCAATTGGATATTAACCTTGCCAAAGGGAGTATCCACGTATTTTTCAGTTCTTCCTTCTAAAATCTCTGGATCATCCAGGCCTGTTCCACCAATTATTCCAATCTAAGGGAGAAAAAAAGATAATCACATTGGGTTATTTTTCACTAGAAACAAAATACTGTAATTATTTCAACCAAATTCACATTCCTCAATTCTTGCTAAGCCCTAAATTTAAAAAAAAAAAAAAAACTGAAAAAATTACTTTTTAAAAAAGGCAAAGATTTGATGACTTTCTGACTTTCTTTCTTTGTTTTTTGTTCCTTTGTTTTGTCTTGCTTCAGGTTGGCTTTGAGCTCACTTTGCAGCCCAGGTTGGTCTCAAACTTGTAATGATCCCCTTGCCTCAGGCTCCTAAGTGCTGGGATTACTTACAGGTGTGCACTAGAAGGCTTTCTATTAAAAGAAAAAAAAAATCAACAAAAACTTGAAATAACTAAAATGTAATCAATTTTTGGATATTTAATTCTCAATGAATTACAAATAAGCACAAAATGATACTTTTAGGTTAGAAAATCAAACCTAAAAATAGGCAAATGTGGTTGTTGAAAGTTCTTTCTTACCAATTTTATTTTCTATGTTATCTGCAATATGGAGAAAAGAATATTAAAAAAAAAACTGCTAGATGGGGCTGGGGATTTAGCTCAGTGGCATAAGCACCTGCCTTGCAAGCAAGTGGTCGTGAGTTCGATCCCTGGTACCAATAAAAAGTTAAAAAAAAAAGCTTGCTAGGATATAAAATTTCAGGTATGTCATTTTATAATGGTATCATTCCATTACCATTTTATTAAAAAATGAAATTTTCTCTGCTATATCACAAGGGCTACAAAAGAATGCAGACAGAAGAGACTGAAATGGCATGAAAGTTAGCATTAGACAAAATCAAGCTGCCATTCATATGTCTAGAATTCATATTTATACTTGGTAAACACAGACAAGATAAAGAAACTTCATTCCACTATGAGTTAACCTGAGCTGATGACTAAGAAGCACAATTAAGAACAATTACAGAGATAAATATAAACTAAACTGTTAAAACTAAAATTTAAGTATCTAAAGTCTTTACAAGAATTTCCCTAGATTTATGTCCTAAAGGATAAAATTTTTAAATGATTGGCAGGTTAAAGATACTTTACTAGAAAACTCATGGAAAGTGACCTAAGCATGTTTTTCAATGAAAAGGTCCCAAACTATTGTCACTTAAGTAAAATTTCAACTACATAAAATAGCTTCCTGAGCAAAAATTACACTTGAGAACCAGACATCTAAATTACATAATTTTCAGGTCAATTTATGCAAGTTGATTTAGATTAACATTTAGGAAATGGTTTTCTCCCTGGTCCTTATCTTCTGGGAAAAAATCATCAAAGCACAAAAATCGGAGAGTTGAGCTTTTACTGGAGAATCTGTTGGTTTACCACACTGCCTTATGTGGCTAAGCTAGTTTTGGCGTTGGTGCCACCTTGTGATACATTACTGAAATCACAGGTTACTTTTCTTTTCCCTTTGGTGACATGGGGCACGGAACCCATGGCCTTCACATTGAGTTACAACTCCAGCCATTTATTTTTTTACTTTAAGACAAGGTCTTGTTAAGTCACTAAATTCCATGCTGGGCTTGAAATTATGATCTTCCTGTCTCAGCCTCCTGGTGTGCTGGGATTCCTGACATGCATCACCACACCCAGCCCACAAGTTACATTATTTTCTGTCAACCACACTGTAAGTGAAGACTAATCAATATTATAATTCTCAAATCAACAAGAGCACTCTGTTTAGTTAATACATTTAAATCACCCAGTTCAATAGGAAAAACATGTTTTTAAGAACCATCTGCTGCATGCAATCCTAGCCCCTCGCTTCTCCACCTCATCCCACATTTCATATACCTATCTTATCTAAGAGGAAGCTATAACCAGTCTCAAAGAAATAAACTGCTGACTCTGAAATGACTCTCAGCACACTCTTCAAGGATTTGGTCACTCAGGAAAACACTGGCATTTTTAGTTATGGTCACTTTCACCTGACTGTTTCTTGGTCACAGATTCTCAGACTCTGGATTCAACTCTGGACTCTCAGGCTTGTATACAAAACAAGGCCACTTTGATTGTGGAACCACCCACCTCAACTTAGGCAAGCTAGCCTAGATGGAAGCAGTAATCAAATGGCAAGAGCTATCCTGCTGAAACCCAGCATTCTGTGCTCACCACAGCAAGCAAGAGCTTCAGTCCAGCTTCACCCAGGCTGCACCATCGTTCTGCATCAGGTAGCGGATGTTTCAAACCTCAGCTAGAACACATAGTAGGTAGCTGAACCAAAGGCAGGTCCAGGATGGAGTCTCTGTACTTGGAATCATCTGCAGGCAGGCTGACTCGGCCACCTGGCTGGCTGACCTTCATGGAAACTCACATCTTGCAAGGAACACAGCAACAGCTATAGTGACTCAGAAATGTCCTGCCACAGCAGGGAACTAGACTTCAAGGAAGGAAGACAGTAGAGCCATGATGTGGTCAATGTCACCACCTGCTGGCCAGACAGCAAAGTACAGCTACAAGGAAGCACCCAAGCACTGGCACAGGCTGATTCTGTCCACACTTTTTGAGTCTTTAAATTTAACAGTCAACTCCATACTTGCCTTGGCAATAAGGGGACTGTGTATGAACATTCACACACTACAGTTAGTGCACTAAGTGCTGCACAGTCCTTATTTCATTGATCACCATGGGTGCAACCTATAAGACAGGCACTATGGTATTATAGCCATTTTACAAATGAAGAAAGAAAAGCACAAAAATGAAGAAAGTGGTCTAAGAATAAATCATAAAGAGCAAAGCTAGGGCAGGAATTTGGCTATTTCTTGTTTAGCCATGATGAGATACTATCTCCAATATCACCAGGAGTCTGTCATGAATTCACAATGTTAGTTTTATTGGCTCTGTGTTATAAAGAAACTGATGTTCAGCAACAAGCTGTGGACCAAGTTGGGCAGCTGAAATAGTGACTGGATATCTGAGTGAACCCTCTCCGAGAAGAGGATTGTTCTTGTGATAATCTTACTCAGACTCAGGAATCAAAGACAAGACCCTGCCAGCTGCAGCCCTCGGCTCTGTAATTCTAGACTGCTAACAAAATGGCCTCAAAACCTGAAATCAAATTTTTGGGCTGGTTCTGCACACCCAGTAGTTCATTACACAACATTAAGTTCTTTTTTCGTTTTGTTTTATTTTTATTATTTTGAAGGTAGTAAAATATAATAGAACAAAGCCAATTGAGACTGTGTAGTAAAACTGGTACAGAACTTCACAGCAGGTTACTGGGATAACAGTAATAGGTATCATAGTATATCTCACTATCTTCATAATAGTTGTTCTTTCAATCACGTATAACAAAATAAAATGGAATACAGAACATTATAGAACTTATCAAAGCAGAATATTGAATAGAGCAGTACCATTGATCAGAATAAAGCAAAACACAAGTAAAAATATTTGCCTTCAAGGAGATGGTAGAAGGAAATCTTCCTTATTTGCTATGGTCAACCTCCCAAGAGATGCTCAGATCTCTGGTTCCCATTTGCTAAAGGGGTCAGGGGAAGTTGGATGTTTCACTCTCAGCCCGTGCGCCAGTAGGTTCACTATTGCTTACCAGGGAGGCAAGCTAGTTGCTTGGTTTCCCAGTGTCCTAAGTTCCAACATGGCGCAGATCTCAGGAGACTCTGGTGGTTCTCCCCCTGGAGGGGCTACAGCCTGCTACACCATAGCCGCTTACCAGGGAGGCGAGCTGGTTGCTTGGTTTCCCAGCATCCTCCAACATTAGGTTCTTAAATGGAGTCCCTCTCATCATGAGGTCACCACTAGATTTTAACAGGTAGTGGTTCTTCCCACACTTCATGGACAGACCACCAGGCTAACCTCAAAAAGGAGTCAGTGTTTGACTTTATCTGAGACTATGCAATTCTCTTACTCAAATGGTGGCTTACCAGCCAAAAGGATTACTTCTAGTAAGGTTGAAAGGGTACATTCCCAACCCTACCCTGTGCCTACTTTCCCTCATGCCTGGTTCTCAGACACTTCAGCTACCCTCCTGGGTCTCAGGAATCACTGCTTTGAGACCCTGCTCAAGCTATCTAGTGCTCTCTGATGGCATTCTCAAAACACCATAACTCAGGGCACCTGAGATTCAGTCATGCTAGGGAAATGGGCTCTTTCTGAGTTCTCCATGCTCATTATGACTTAGGAGAGCCAGAGCTGCAGCTGGGCTCTCATCTTTGGTTGCCACTATCACGTTTGGCAACTGCAGCAAACAAAGCCTCATTATCGGGCCAGCCTGGCTCTGAAGTTTCCCAGGACTCTAAAATCCTGGAAGCCCAGCTCTATGAGCAAACAGTGGCTAAATGTCTCAGATTGGGAGACCTGTTCTAAATGGCTCAAAAGGACAGCTATTGGCTCCATCTCTGAAGACCGCCGCCCACCAAAGTGCCTTTTTAGGCAATGATTATAGAGTCAGCAGTGACCCCTTTCAGCAAAGTTCCACGTTGAAGTTCTAACCTCCTGTACTAAATGTCATTGCGTTTGGCAACAATCTTTAAAAAGTTAATTAAGGTTAAATGAAGTCATTAGGATGCGTTCTAATCCAGTGAAACTGGTGAACTTATAAGAGACTGGGATACATACAGAAGCAAGACCTTGTAAAGACACATGGAAAACACGGCCATCTTCAAGTCAAGGAAAAAGATCAGATGAAAGCAACCCTGACAACATCTTCATCTTGGACTTCTAGCTACCACAAGTGTGAAGTATTACGTTCCTATTGCTCCTGTCACCAAGGCTACTTGTTACAGCAGCTCTAGTAAACTAAGATTATATTTTAGAGAAGTCTGGATAGCTGCTAGGGATCAGAACACCCATAGCTTTGACTAACTTTCCAAAGGGTAGAGACCTTTTGGATACCACTTCTCTTGTGAAACACTTAATTTTCCTCAAAGGTCACTATTCCCAGATGCTGGACTGCAAAAACTGATTAATGGAAATAATTTAATGTTTCTCAGGTAGTTCTTAAATATAAATT